GTATAAGCTATTCAGGTGGCTGGCAAGATGAAAAGTTGTCAAAGAATCGAGAAGAGAAGGACGATTTGGCGAAACTCTTCCCTCCCCCGTAACACGCTCCCTTTCAAAGCTCTTTTCGGAAAGTTCTTGAACTAGATTCTTCTCTTCTCATGAATTTAAAGAGATCTCGACCGCATTTCGAACGCGCCTTACACGTGCATGTAGTTGCCTCGTAGGCGAACCGAGCGAACCAATACACTCTGGGAAGGTTTCAAGCCGAGGCTTTCTCCTTCCAATTCACGCCTCTGAAATATTACATTATATGTTCAATATTAGACATTGGCCGTCCAAGTTGGCGAAAAGACCTAACAAAGTCGAAAAGTTATCGAGCAGCCAAGCTACGGTAGATTTGCGCGTTACGGTTAAGACCTTGCAGCTGTGAACTCGAGCACTACACTATCTGCCCACCTTTGCCTCTGCGGCTGCTGATGCAAAAACACTCGAGAACTCCTCGAGTTTCCAGCTAGGTCGCAGACACTTTAACAGGGTTCCGTTCACGGTATTCACACCTACAGTCTGTCACCAACGATCGTTCCTTCACCATCTACGGCCGATTAATCCTTCAAATTCCCCAGATGTGAATAATTGGACGCGCCAACCCGCCAACGGGTACTTAACGATCGCCGCATCGATCTTAAAAGAAGGTCTAGGTTGAACAGAAGCCTCGTCACTTCTCAGCCGCGATGTTCCATCCGAATCAGTCATCTTGCAAACTTTGCGGGATTCGTCGAGCTTCGTACCTTCGTACGGAGCATCTCTGCCAAGATACCGTGAATTACTTTGGCCAAAGTAACTGTAGATTTGCTCGCTAGATTAGCTCACGGCCAGCTGTCGAGTCGTATCGGTAGAAACAGCCAAGGGAATACGTAAGTTAAGAAGCAACTCAAGCGTAAAGTCGACTTCTGCTTTTGGTATATGTACTCAATGGAATTGGAATATGGTAATTGCGTGATTAGTCCCGATGACGCAAAATAAAACGTTCGGTTTGCCTGGCATCTGTGTTTATAAAGCAGAAGGCGCGGGAATAAGAAAACTTCCCTGGAAGAATTTTGTACAGGTGGGCGAGCAACGAGCGGCGAAGGGGCTTCGTTCGAATTGAAATTCCCGGGCGGCTTGTCGAGCTTCCGATACGTACATCGCCGTTATCGGGGGATTTCGGACGATTCAGGAATCCAGAAGCTGGTGTATCGCGGAACTCGAGGAGAAACACGCTGGGGGAAGAGTCAGTCGGAGTAAAGACTAGTTGATGCTATGGTCACCATGGCGATGGTTATCGATCCCC